ACTTGCTTTGTGTTTTGTTTGCTTGAGTTGCACTAAAAGTTCACCGCTAAATAACAAGAATTCACCGAGTAGTCATCACATCTAGGACCCGGGTTGACAATAAAACCCAAACCCGCTATACTACGCTTTAGGAAGTGGTTGCACTTGGCCATTTTCTAGAGTGACAGTAGGAGTGAGTCAGCGACTATCCTAGATTAGTAGGAGATCCAGTAGTCATAGTGGACACAGATGCACCAGGCACTAGGGGTGATAGAGAAAGATGATGAGCTCGATATTCTTGAGCCAGAAAAGGTGCCCGCCCTACATGCTTTGATCAACTTCCCTCTAGAAACACAAATGAAGATATGAGTGAAGCAGTGGATACAAGTTCCTGTGGATTCTCAGACTTGAGCATGTCGGTCCGCTGACACTCTTCGACATTAGAAGAGAGACTATAGACATTTTAACTAGAGAGTTCCTTGCTACACTAGTTGTATCTCCAACAAGAAAATCTAGTAAGATTTGCATCACATATGAGTTGGTGGGACTGGGAAGACACTTCACTAGCCGTTATGGTAGTTTTGCTCAAAAGCTATGGATTCTTCCATATCATACTAGAGGACCTCTCTTTGAGGCTAACCTGAGACTTGAGAGGTTGGGATCAAGGTTCGCATCAAGGGATCTTCACCACTTTGTGGAGAAGGATTACAAGAAAATCGTAGGTCGAGTTTGATCCTGGATATGCTAGACCTAAAACCATTCGCCTACAATTTTTGAGGTTCGTGCATTACTTTGGTCGAACCAATTTTCATATGAGCCACAAAGGCGATGGAGGCAAGGTCTCCACCACTGACATGCTATTCTATCATTCACTTGTGCATGAACGATGGTTTCATCTAACATGGTTAGTAGTGGACTACCTCAGTCTATCTACTATACCATCTCTTCCCATCTAGTACATTCCAAGAGGAGGCTACATTCGGACCATTTCCCATCACATTGATGATCACAGGGATGATTTTGGATTTGCTCTCTGGAACACCATGGCTACTCATGGACAGATTTTTAGACAACCAGATTACACCTTCAGAGTGGAAAGGCTAACAGTAGTAGGATTCAACCTCGTCAGAGATAATTGTCATAGCCATGAGGCTTGGGTGAGAGCAAGAAGGCCAGCAGTGCAGCTTTAAAGGATTCAAGAGCGGCAGAGACATGAAGCTGGCCCATCTTCCTCACCACCACCACCACCCAGTATCAGGACTATGGAGTCGAGATAACATCATTGAGGGAAGTCGTGTAGAGAAAAAAGTTAAATTTCTCGCGTACTAGACAATGAATGAGCACCATTAGGATTCCTTCGAGAAAGATCATAGAGAGGAGCTAGAGGAGGCTCGAGCTTGGAGAAGATAGAAAGAGACACACCAATAATGGGGCAATGACTGGATGAGCGAGTTTGGTTAGAATTTTGATAATTTCTTCTCAAGGCAAGGTTCAGGAGGTGGTAGGCCCTAGTTGGCAATTTTTATAATTTTTTGGTATTGATTTTTTTAATTTATTTTATTTGTGGAAACTATTATGGATCATAAGCACTAGCTTGTTTCCATTTATTATCTTTTTTACCATCATTTTGAGTCTTGCAATTGCAATTGAGGAGTTGAACTAGCTATTCTCCATAATCCATTTGAAATTAGTCCGACAAACTAGTTGGGCACTTATACTTAAAGATTGTTTATCACTGGTTATCAGTAAAACCTAAAGATATTTGTAAAATGTAGATTAATGGGGCTAAATTATCTTATGGAATGCAAATTATCTCATAACTATCACTGGAAAAGTATCTGTCTAGAAGAATGCTCAAAATCGATCATATGAAAGAATTTGATTCAGTGGATTGGTCCTTTCTCTTCAAAGTTCTAGAGGCTATGGGTTTTCCTTTGTTATTTCTTTGATGTTAATCATGTGTGGGGCTTCCTCATTGTTGAGTGTGAGATTTAATTGGGGGGGGGGGGATGGGTTATTTATCTTTTAAAAGAGAACTCGGGTAGGGAGACCCTTTGTCTCTTTACCTGTTTGTAGTGGCTAAACAAGTTATTATATTTTTTTCTAATAATGCAACCTCTTAGAGTTAGTTACCCTATCGTCCATAGTGTTAGAGAAGAAAATTAACTCATCTTTGCTTCGCTGATGATGATCCTAATCTTCACGAATGACTTAAACTATGGCATTCAATGTGCGGAAGAGGTACTGGATCATTTTAGAATTTTGTCATGACTTATATCTAATCTAGGTTCATGTAGATTTTTTGTGGAGGGATTCATATTGAATGACAACTGGATATGGTTGAAACTTAAAAGGGCTAGATATAGATAAGGGACATTGCTAGTAAAGTAATTAAGAGTTCCCCTTATCTTCGAAAAGTTACTGCTAAAGCAACTGTAGACATGATTGACCACATTTGGTTTTCCTTAAAACAGAAAGGGGTACAGATACGAGATCTATGTACATGAAATATAGCAAGTGTTGTAAGACACATACAAGAGACACTTTTGCACCAAGACTCCATTTGGGTGGGCTGGATACTGAAATTCAGGTTAAAGCATAGATATTTCTATACTGATGAAGGGAATAGTGGCTTATGGAACTAGAATAAAATGTTGAAAACACAGTTGCTGACGAAAGATAACTTCATGGTTTGTAATGGTGAAGTATTTTGGAATAATGTTGCAATGCCAAAATTTTAGATATGGGAGATGCTAAAGTCTCATAGACCTACTATATATGTTCTGGTTTAAACTCATCTTGACATGTAAGCATTCGCAAAAATAAAAAAATAAAAAAAAGATTTCTTGCTTGCTTAGTTGTCTTGATCATATACAAACTTATGACAAAATGATTAAGTGAGGGTTATAGTGGCTCTTTCAACTGCTTGTTGTGTACGAAAGATTTTGAAAACCAGAGACCATTTGTTTATGCACGCTAAAGTCCATCACCAGCTAATTACTAGATTCTTTGGTGTTGATATTGTTCATGGGAGATCTTGTGAAGATGAACTTCATGGGATGTGAGGAAGTTTACAGGGAATACTCCTTTTACTTGGTAGGAAAGAATGTCTGGAGGACATTGGTGAGTTGGATTTGGAAAGAGAGCTATACACTTGCAAATGATGGTCGAGTAAAGGGGTAGGTGGATTTTTCAACAGGTTAAAGAGTAGAAGTAATGACAACTAGAGATAGTTTTTCTCTTATTTGGTCTTCATATTGTAAATTAGTACACTTAATTGGGTGTTACCCCTTTTAATTCTTGTATGACTTGTACATGCTCTCATTTCTAGTTGGCAGGGTCATTGCTAGTAATGATTTTTATGGAATAAAATCACTCATTCATAAAAGAAAGTTTTCTTACAGGAATGATATTAAGGTTAACAATATTTGCACAACATAGTTGCAGTATTCACGCATCTTAAAATAAATGTTAGAGAAAATAATAATGTTCTTATTGTGGAATATTCCAACCATATTATATGAATACTAAAACTATGTTATGTGAATATTATCGAATTTATCTCAAACATTATATAGAAAATATTTATATTCATCTTATTATATAGAAAAAATTATATTTGTTCAAAATTTTTGGTAAAAATAACATTTACTAGCTTTAAAATAATAAACACAAAGATTTATTAGCAATGTGCACGCCTCAAATTGCTTCGAATATTATGCTATTTTTTATTGCTAATTATACTTCTTTTTGTGTCACATTTTTTTTGTTTCTAATTATTTTTTCTTTTCCAAAGGCATGTGAACATGCCATTTTATTTATGATGTTTAAAATAAGTCGTTACACTGGGGTGTTCTCTTCTGACAAGACTTTCAGTATGTTGGTTCACCTGCTTCTTCTTCTTTTTTTTTTTTTTTTTTTTTTTGCTAATTTACTTTTGCTCCTTGTTGTGGCTCCCTATTGTTTTATTTTGTTAAAATTAAGAACATGAAGTTGATAGATGGTTTTGCAATGTTTTACTTCTGTTTGTAGCTCACATTAGTCCTGTATTTTGAGTCTGCTTGGGTTCTTGTTAGGGGCCCTTTTGTTTGTTAGTTTTACAAGTGAGTTTCATAAGTCAGTCTTTCAGCGCTTGGAGTTGCAGCTAGAGTAAGAAAGAAAGGACGAAAGGTTCCTATGGATGGAGGAATTTTACAATGCTATATAGCATTGGTGCTATAGGTTTTTACCTTTATGGTACAATTCGAAATTGTACCTTTAATGTTATGGTACAACTTCAGATTGTACCTATACTTTTTGTGCAAATTCTTTTATGGTACGACTTTAACTTGTACCTTATGTGATGGTACAACATCAAGTTGTAAAGTTGTACCATAACATAATGATACAAATTCCTTTATGGTACAACCTAAATTTGTACATTTAATGTTATGGTACAACTTCAAGTTGTACATTAAAGCACCAATACTATATAGCATAGTAGAAGTGCTCATGGATTGAGGGACCGTTCTCTTGTTTGTTGTTTTTACAAGCAAATGCTGGTACATCTCGATTGCTATATTTGCTGAGATTTCTGCATTGCCGTCATCTTATAGCCAGGGCTTGATCCTTGACTTTCACCCTGCAAAGTGTGGAATTTAAGTTAGGGACTCAGCCTTTATCGACAAGGTATCAAAGAGATACTCATATGTTGGTAAAAATTCTTTCTTATCCTTGGTTTGGTGGGCAGTCGACCAACGTCCTCTTTTTTCGGTTTGTAAATTTAGTCTAAATTATTTTTACATTCTATTTATGTTGTTTTCTCTTAGAGATATCTGTGGCGAAAAAAAGGGCTTTGAATCTAATAAATGATATTTTATAGAATTTATTATCATACACGTGGAAGAACATGACACCATTTTTGTCCATGCTAATATACCTATTATTCAATGATTAATGAACAATAGTAAAAATACTTTAACCAAACATAACAAAAGGGTTAACAATGTTTGCCTTAAACGAGATCCTAAGTTCATAACCATGTTATTTCCTCTCTCTCTTAATAGTTTCAGTTCATATTCATTTTTTTCTATTTCTATCTTTCTCTCACCCTCACTCTGTCCCTTGCTCACTCACAATTTTCTCAGATTTAGTTTGATTTGATTCCATAAACCAAAACATAAACACATAAATCACTTAGATTAATTATTGTCTTATTTTCCAGTGTTTAGGAATAAGAAAGATGCAATCTTGCGGCTCTGATTCACAACATCCTAAGCAGCACGAACAACAACGACAACAACAACCACCCCCTCCTCCTCCTCCACCACCGCCACCGCACTCGACACCATGGGTCCCGATGCAGTATCCAACAACAGCAATGGTAATGCCTCACCAAATGTTGTCACCTCATCAGCATTACGCTTTACACCCACCGCCTCCCCAACACTATATGGCTGCCACCGCTTACCACCACCAGTACCAGCACCCTCACCAACAACACCACCATCCCGCAGCCATTGCCTCCCCAATCCACCACCACCTTCACCAGCATAGCAACCACGTGGCGGGATCTGTAGCCGATAACAAGACCGTCTGGATCGGGGATTTGCATAACTGGATGGATGAAAATTACCTCCATACTTGTTTTGCTTCCACCGGCGAGGTATCCTAATCTAATCTCATTTTAATTAATATCTCTCCATTGTTTCCATTTTTGGTTTAATCATTGTAAACATCGAAACTTTCTGCCAAAAATGGCATGTTTTGTTTCCCTGTTTTCATGCTCTAACGCTAAGACATTTCTTGTTTATTATTGCTCCAATCTTTGTAGTCACCTTACAATCCTGTAATTCGACTCATTAGTTAGTTGAGTTCGTTTGTATAAAAGAACCATGGGATTTCTTTGGGTATAGACGGTAGGCTTTCCTAGCTAGTTTCCTTTTTTGGATAGTTCAGTGCGATGTAGTATAAAAAGTCTACAACTTTGCTATCATTCACAAGGGAAAAAGGACATTGGTTTTGGTGTTTTAAACTATGGTAGGGTATACTAATTCAGAGACCCATCTTTTCTATATTTTCAGCTACCGTCTTGTAGTTTGGAACAATGTGCTAGTGATGTGGCTCTCCCATGGCATTGATTTCCTTTTTGGTGAACTACTATCTGATTTCTTGCCTGCAGATTGAATGATTGTGCAAACAAAATTTTGTAACTATTTATCATTAGTTGGTTGTTGCTAGTAACTAGTATGCTAGCTATTTGACATCATGTTCATTGCTTTGTTTTTTTTAGATCGCTTCCATTAAGGTGATTAGGAATAAACAAACTGGTTTATCTGAAGGGTATGGATTTGTCGAGTTTTTCACACACGGGACAGCTGAGAAAGTTCTACAAAATTATACCGGCATTTTGATGCCTAATACCGACCAACACTTCCGTCTTAATTGGGCAACATTTAGCACGGGAGACAAGCGATCAGATAATGCTCCCGATCTTTCTATTTTTGTTGGCGACTTAGCTGCAGATGTTACTGACAGTTTATTGCATGACACTTTTGCCAATAGATATTCGTCGGTTAAAGCTGCCAAAGTTGTGTTTGATGCCAACACTGGTCGTTCAAAAGGTTACGGTTTTGTTAGGTTTGGAGATGATAGTGAGAGAACACAAGCAATGACTGAAATGAATGGAGTGTATTGTTCAAGTAGGGCCATGCGTATTGGTGCTGCAACTCCTCGCAAATCTTCTGGATATCAACAACAAGGTATCATGTTATTTTGTCGACTGCAGATGGCAAAATTGATGTTTTGTAGTCTATATGGTGCTTGTTATATCTAGGCCTCAAGATCTATGCTTCAATGTAACTTTTATTCACCTTGAAGTTCGTTTCTTCAACCATTTGGTTGCATGCAACTGCTCAATGTTTCTTTCTCATACACAATGATAACCATCTGCGTGGAAATTTTGTGAATACTTCTTACCTTTCATATGAATTGAGATACGGTCTCTAGGTGCTAGTTATCTAATTATTTAGTCATGTAGGACTTGCTTAAGATTGGTCCACCTGTTCGTATTGAAGACTTTCATGCATGCTCTTATTCTGGACACCTTACATGGTTCTTTTACTTCGTTTCCCATAAAGGAAATTGGCTCACCTAAAACTATTCTACAAATCGATGATATTACTTATTATGGAATAATGCTTTCTTAACTGAAGTATTTGAGTTGTTTCCTTTCCTTTATAGCACAAAGTGAATGGGAGTCAGTTACCTGTATTCATTTCTACTCTAGATGGTCCTTTAAGGCATCACCTTTCCTACTATTGATAGGTACTTCGGGTTAGGTGATAAATTTATGCGTGTTAACAAATGATGTTATGGGCATTCCTAACATTGAAAATCTAGAAGAATATGGTTGAACATTATATGTATTGTTGTGTTATTTCCTTCTTTAGTATGTGCATATTGCTTCTCGTTCCTCCTTAATTTGGCCATTTGTCTTCTAATGTCTTCAAACACTAAACTACGTCTTCTCCCTCTTAGGTGGATATATATCAAATGGCTCCTCCACCCCAAGTTTTCTATCTGAAAATGATTCCACAAATACAACTGTGAGTATTGTAACTTCATGTGTTCACAACAAAAGTTCTTGTTACTACCATTTTACGCAGAGGCACTTTCTATGTCTGCAGATATTTGTAGGAGGGCTTGATCCCAATGTCACTGACGAGGATCTGAAGCAGACTTTCACTCAACATGGTGAGATAGTCTCTGTCAAAATACCTGTTGGTAAAGGATGTGGCTTTGTACAATTCGCTAGTAGGTAAGTAAGGGAAAAAAATCATTCTATCACCACTTTCTAACCATCATGCTTCAAACCTTAAGACATGCATAAGCTTTTAGTATATCTAAATTTGCTCATATTCTCTATTCATCTCCATAGGAGCAATGCTGAGGAAGCATTGCAAAAGTTGAATGGCACGATCATAGGCAAGCAAACAGTTCGCCTCTCGTGGGGCCGCAATCCAGCAAACAAGCAGGTAATATGCCCATACCCATCATCCTCTCTTGAAATCCTTTTTGTGTCCTATGGATGTTCATGTTTCATTAATCGATAGTTTTGGAAATTGTAGTTCAGGGTAGATTTTGGGAACCAGTGGAGTGGGGCCTACTACGGAGGCCAAGTTTACGACGGATATGGATATGTCATGCAATCACCTCATGATCCAAGGATGTACGCAACAACAGCTGCATACGGGGCATACCCTCTGTTTGGCAGCCATCAACAACAAGTAAGCTGAGAGAAATGAAATAAGACAAAAGGAGATCTTCTTCCAAATCGGTGGTTCATCATGGTTTCAAAGAATAACAAGTAGGTCTCTGTGGCTGATCATATTGGATGATGTAAGGATAAGAAGAAAACAAACAAGAAGAGGCTTAATGTTGTCTCAGTTGCTTTGTCACTCCTAGCTAGCTAGTTATTGGTAATGGTAGAACTTGTTTTGGTGATAAAAGTCCAGTCCTCTATAGTTTAGGGATTGGAATCGAATTTTGAACACAAAAAAATAGAAGTTTTTTTTAGTTGTAGGGAGGGAATTGATTGATTGGTTATTATTTATTTAGATTATTGGGGTAGTGATTTGAAGATAGGCCTTCTCTCTTCAAATCTTGTGTTGCCTGCTGCATTCATCCATGGTTTAGCTAATAAAACATTGTCCTTAAGTGTATGATATGAACATTGGGAAGCCTCCATCATAGTGTACGTGTTTAATTCTCATTTAGAAATTGATCTTACCACCACTACACCACATCACACATCATTAACACTATGGTACATAAGTTAGTAATGTGTATTTATTGTTCATTTAGAGGCGGTCACTGTATAATACATTATCAAATATTGTACGGCGTCGCATATGAAAGATCATAAATATAAAGATAACGAACACAATATCGATAAATTGTGTAATCTATCTGTGTTAAATGAAAGATAAGATAATAACCTTCCCTCATGTGTTACATTTTTGTTGTTTGTGGAGATTTCAGTTCCACCGCCCACCTCTTGGCCACTCGGCCGACATTGCTCATCCATCTCGCTCTACTAATGTCGTTCTAATCCTGTGAGGGAAAAATATTGACGGGGTGAGACGTCACTCGATGAGTAAATAATAACCTAATATTAATATTAATATTAATATGAAAATGATATCGGGCTATGTTTGACTCGGAGTATCTTCCGTCCATATTTTTAACCACTTAATAACTTTACCTAGGTCTCACCTATGAAAATTTATACGGAATTTCTTCCCTCGACTATTCGATCTTTTACATATACATTATGGTTTATTCATTCGAGCTTTTACATATATGCCACACATGATTCGTTTAGGTTTTCAAAATTACTTTACCCTACTTGGTGTTGCAGATAGTTCATATTTATTCTTATACACCATACGGAATTTCCATCATATCTTTACACTTCTATCAACACCGCATCATGAGAGGTATTATAGACACGTAATATTATACACGTCAACATCTCATGGTAATATCATAATTGCATGAACGTATCATCACTACTTATATAGCAGTTTCCTGATTATTCATTGTATCACTCGTCATAGGAGATTATCACAAAATATACCTCATGTCACTTGATATCATATATAAAACACATCGACCTTCACATATTTCATATATCGTATAGGGGGTTCACCTTCTATATATCAAATATGGCAAATACTAGGATTTCCATCTTAATCACATATCACACAAACACGACAAATACTAAGATTGACATTTAAGTACTCATGTTGCATCCAAAATCACCCATGCATCCAATCTCACACATGCATACATATAGTTAGCTGGATTCAGTAGCTTTTATTCTTTAATTTGCCAAGTCATGCACTCCCCGGGATCTCGTGAACTCGTAATCTCGTAGGCACAAAGTGCCAGATCTCGTAAACTCGTGGGCACAGAGTGCCAGATCTCGTAAACTCGTGGGGCACAGGGTGTTATATCTCATAAACTCGTAGCCAGACTTGGCATTACTCCTTAAAAGGAGTTCTCATATAACTCTTTTATCTCTTAGGCTTGAAGCCTCTTTTCACTTATAATGAGTGCATGACAGGGCACCATTATGTTTTCTTTAGGTGACCATGCAATTCTTATAATTAGTCACAACTCAACATATCACTTGGTGACCCAAGGGCCATTTCATATCACATTGACTTGCATGACTCATAGGCCATTTTATCTCATCTCGTATAATTGACAATAGGCAACCTTTCTTGTCATTCTTTTCACTTGTAAACCTCAAATGGCATTTCACATATCATATACTCATCACATTATATCGTTTAGCACACACATAGCAACATGCATTATGACCTTCTGGTCATACCATCATACAATCATTTCATCATATCGTCGCATTATCATACAATTACCATTTTATGGTAGCATCATCCAATCATAGGATCATTCAATCATTTCATCATCATTCAATCATGTAACCATGCCACATAGCAACCTTCATTCACTATCGGTTTAAGTCTTACCAAACTATCATATACCTCGTACTCAAGCCACTTCATGACCCGAATACCATAATCATATTAAGATAAACATTAGATTAGAATTTACTCACATTAAATCACTCAGCTACTTCCTTTTTGTCTCGATGGTTTCTCGCTTTCTCCATCCCTTTAATAAGACCACGAAAATCAATTTAATGTGCGAGCAAGCCCGTTAACTAATGGAAATCGCCTCACTTAACTAAACCAGTACTCTACATGGTCTAGATTACACGTGCATCATCATTTAGTTTTAAGAATATTTCTATTCCCAAGTCAACTATCCTCCCTTTCATAAATGTACATAAATGATGCTATAAAAATTAAATAAATTAACCCCTTTTGCACGTTTTTACTCAATTAACACACCCCATCTTGATACGGCTTCTCATTTTATCTCAAGCAACAATCCAATTAATTCCACAGAAACTTGGGGTCATATATGCCAAGTCTATTTCAATTCTTGTATATCTCCACGTGCGGCCATGCATGTGTACATATATATACACCCATATTTATTCATGTATGCGTCTATATGTCAATCATTCCCATAAATAATTCTACTCATCATAACGCAAATGCCACCCATTTAAATTATTTGGCCCCTCTCATTTCAAGGTAGAACTAATATTTATCATGAGGCCAATCCAACCTTCTGTGTCCTAAATCTGAACAAAATCATCCCATATCTGAATGGATGATCATCATATATATTCCACAGCAAAGCAAACCCAGTTATCTTTATTGTGACCGCTAGCTATCTATCTCCTTTCCCTCTTATTATATCAGGCAAACCAAAGCAAGAGAAGCCCTTACATTATGCGATCTAGCAGCAGTTTTCTTTTGAAGCTCCACAATACCACTTCCACCTATAACTCTTACCCATACTTGTTGAAGGTCAATAGAGATGGTAGAGAGAAGTACCAAGGCGGTTTTCCATCTCTCTCTTATTGCTTGAAGAAAAGAGATGAAATAAAATGCCTGACTCCAAGTTCCCTCTACTAGAACCATCCATTCATCCCCACTTATTTAATTTCCTTACAACAGTCAGTGGCTTCAGGCTTGCGTGTATGCTTCTTGGTTCCAGTTGGGAATAGAGCCTTTGCATGCTATAACGAAGTAAATATGCTAGGTAAAGACAAGGGATATTAAATAATTGTTTCCCTCCTTGTTTTCAGTTATTGAGCAAAATAATGATCATTATGGTTAGAGTATGTAAAAATCTTGATGGCCTCTTCCTTTTCATTAGGCATGTATAGTACAGATCAAATTTAAAATTTCCTTTGTACCAGGTTGTTGTGATTTCGATTTGATACTATAATAGATTAAACATAGATTTTGTATATTTAAATTCTCATATATGATATGAAACATCTCAACCACTTCAAAGGGAGAGGATGTAACACTAGATGTGAGATTCACCTCTCAACATCACTTATTATATGACTAGTTTAATCTTGTTTGATTAGGGTAGAACTACAAATACGTTTTCTAACATATTTAATCCAACTTAAGCCGAGTAAAGTTGCATAAATAGTAAAGATTTTTGTTGATGCCAAGCTGGGAGTAGCCTCCTTCAATGTGTTTGAGGTCCGGTGAGTGCCGATCTTCCTGGCCAAGTCCGCCACCAGTCTCCGAGAAGGACACCTTCAAAACAAAAGGACCCGCCGACGGTGGTCGGCGGGGACCTGCTCCGAAGCTCAAGTCAGTGTTTGAGAGGAGAGTAACCGGGAGCGGCATAGTAAGCCGGCTCTAGAGAGAGATTCAGAGTTTTTATATGAAATGAACTACTGAAAAAGTATAAATGAGCATCCTATTTATAGGTGCCTTCTGACGTGGATGGCGTATAAAGAATAAAATAACAAAATACTCAATCAACCAAAACAGGTGTCATGGCGTTGGTTGATTCCGGCACATAAAACTGAACGACTAAAAGGAAATTAAGCTTACATCTCTTCTCGTTTAACCACGTGTAAGTGGAGGTGGCTTATGAATGGTTGATTTGACTTGGTATAGATAATTAAGTAAAAGCAAATGAACAACAATACCCTACCTCCATGTTTTCAATACCACGTGTGATATAAGGAGATAGGGTGTTATGTTTGTTTTAATGAAAGAGCTCCATCAACCAGATAATTATACATTTGGGGATATAGTTGTCTTCATTCCCCTCTTCTCCACGTGTAATGGTAACATGAAATGGAAATGGGTTGTTGGGCATAGGTAACTATGATTAATCAAGTAATCATCCACCTCATGCCCACGTGCTTTAGGAGGAATGAGTGATCAAATGTATTAGGCTTGAGAGAAATGTATATATACTTACCAACCTACAACAAAGATAAGTTCTAGTTTTTTACATGGTATGCATGGGTAAAGCCAAGTGGTGAATTTGCCACATCCTTTCCACACGTGGAAGCATGGAGAAAGTGATCTGTTAGGTCTTTTCCCTAGGACTTAACAGAGAGGTAAATAACAAACTAATTAATTGATCAATGGATGGAGAAGAGAAACATTGGTCCTTCCATCATTACTCCACGTGTAGTTGAATGGGTAAATAGGGTAGTGGGTGGCTAGAGAGCTAAACCTTTAGCTAGCACACCACTTAAACACCCAATTCATGTAAATCGTAAATATATTGCCATGTCACCATTGTAGCCACGTGAAGGAAATTGCGGTGGTTTTATTGGCATCCTTATTACTCATTGGTATGAGATGATAGGTGGTGAAATAGAGGGTCCATCAATTGCCCCCTTACCAATAGAAAAGTTAAGATAGAAATCAATGTTTTAAATCGTGGCATGTAGAGCACACACATATATGACGAGCAAGTATTGGAGAGTCGCACAAATCATGGCGTATGAGCGCACCATAGTGGCGAGCGATCATGGAAAGCCGTTTCAGTCATGACAGGCAGGCCGTGCCATTCATGGTGGGCAACCATGGAGAATCGTGCCAACGTGGTAGTCGACCCGTACCAATCCTCGGAGGTGACCCATTCCAATTGTTGTAAGCTCATGTGTGTGCTTAGTGTTGTACGTCCATGTATGAGTGATAAGGACAATGGTTTGAGTTATGCAACATGAGAGGAGAATTTTGATATCAAGTATAAATGAGAGTTTAGGTGGGATTACCAGGTAGTTTTTGAGTTTAACA